AGTAATCCTCGGTAAGGCGGAAAGGAGCGCGAGTGCGCGCGGTGGTCGCGCGTTACGTAAAGGGCGCGACGTTGCGCGTATCAGCGCGTGTAGCGCGCTCGCGGCGGGCGCTCGGAGCGGGGTCGCGCGCGGAGTGCCGCTACACAGTTATGCAACGCGCCGCCACCGTCGCCCGGACTGGGAAAATCGAACGCGAGGGGCGCGGGACTGCGCGCGCACCCGCATCGATACCGCGCCGCCGCACGACCCCCGCCCTGCGACCCCGCGCCTGGCACCCCGTACCTCCCTCACACGACCACCACCATCCGCAATTGACATTACACCGGAGACACCAGTCATTCCTGGACGTAACGCAGATACTAGCCACCGAGCTTTCCACGCCGCCTGACGCGGCCGATGAACATCGTTATTCAGACTTAGTACAAGGAAAAATACTTTGTTAATTACAAAAACGTATAACAAATTACCTTTTCAGCCCTTGTAAAGTACCCAGGTTTCGAATTCAAGCCTACTGTACAAAAGAACACAGTTTCATCTAAATCCTCTGAGGCGTAAAATAAAGTTGTAAAGTGGCGCACATTATGGCCGAGTTAAGTAGAACAATCGACTCACATTAGCGGCTTGCCAAGGATCTTTGCACCAGTAATTAAAGTTAGCGCTTCTAGGAAGCCTGGCGCCGAAGGTCATTCGTACGTGACCTGATTATGGACTTCCATGGCGATCGAACTAGTTGTGTCTGCGCCAACACTTTGTCCTAGAAATGAAAGTTCAGAACAAAGAAACATTGCCATAATATTCGTGTGAATATAATATGTTAACTTTATCCTAACTTGGAGTTGTTGCCATGAGTAAAATAATCAGGCGTTATATTTAAAAGGAAAGCTGACATCAATATTATATGATGCGGTATGGGTGTAAATGGCACGGCCGCCGGTACCATTCATGCTATCGGAGTGTCGAGTACTAAATATAGTTATCTCTGCGAGACGGGGCGGCGCAGTTCCATCGGCATTGTGGTCGCAGATCAAGTATACAATTTCATGAATGGCTTCACTCCGCCCGTAAATAGGACATTTGTAAATAAACGTGTCACTTTACGCAATTAAAACAAAGAGCGAAAGTACCTGCTGTTCTAATTTGTTTAATTGGGTAGAAAAGGTATATTTAATGGAGTACGTTGGAACACTTGGAACTATGCAGGAATTTACGTATCGAATTTGTAGAGTTCATAGTTAGGACTGCTTTGGTGGCTTTGCACAAAATTGTTAGTTCGATTCTCAGGTTGAGCAAAAGCTACTTCGTAATTTACCTAGACTGTATCATGATCCAATCAATTTAACCATCTTAAAAATGACCCATAGTTTTGTACTCCTACCTAATAGGTCTGCAGTAGGTAAGTTCCTGCAATATCAGTCAGCCTTAACTTTTCTCTTGAGATTTTTTTATAGGCTACACCAGCAAACCAGCGTTAGGATCACCTGATAGTAAGTAAGTAATTGCCCATGGACATGGACTGAAAAAAGTTACAAGTGCTTTAAAAATCAAATTTCATCTTGAAGTTAAATCACAGTGCAGCAAAATAAGTTTCATAACATTCTGCAGTGGAATTCTGGAATTGGATCGTCCAACTCTATCAAGTATCTGCTTGATTTCTGATACGAAATTAAAAAGTTGTGAAACTTCTGAATCTCTATAATTTAAAATCAAATTATAAGCAGGCGACGACGTTTCGCGGGAAAGTTTAAAGTCACTTAAACCCTTGAAAGTGGTGAAGAAGTGACTTTTTGGAGTTGAAATTTGACGAAAGTGTTTGTTGGTTGAATAATTTGAATCGATTAGATGTGTCGATTAAACGAATTATTTCATTCTGTTTTGAATATAAAACAAGGGCTTTTTATTTAGATACATACAGTTTATGGACAGAATTGATCGAGTCTCCCGCTATGAAAATCTAATATGTCGCCAGATTTACTGACCATAGTTTTTGTACGTATTTTTTTTAAGGGGAGGAAATCATCGAATGACTGCTCCCGCCTGTGAGGTGAGGCGGGAGAGAGTGTCAGACTCTTACTGACTAAAACCCACCCCGTTCCTTCTCCTGCACGTCGAGCCGGAGCCCCGGTAATCCGTTAGGTTCTCCGCGCCTTTTTTTATATGTATAGGATGGTGTTACTGTTAAGCCACCGTCTCGCCTGGTGGTAAACCGTGATGTGACAGACTGTTGGAAGCTTACGGCATTTTGTTGTGTGGCGTGGCCTACTGAGGGGGAGGCCTTTGTACAGCAGAAGAAATCTTCGATATGATCATGATAATGACTGATGACGGGAGACAATTCTTAAACCGGATAATGATTATCAACCCGGAGCTGCAGGCAGAAGTCAATCAAACTAAAAAACAGGTAATGATGACCCCACGTAAGTTCTAGTGCGCTTTACCAATAAGTTAGTTTAATATACATAACATCACGCCTATCATCCCCAAAGGGGTAGGCAGAGGTGTACGTTACGGCACTTAATGCTAATGTACAATGTAACACCCACTTTTCAGTTTCAGTATAATGTACCTACGTACTAATATTTACTGGAATCGTTATCATGGTCGCCCTTCTACATCAGAGGGCAACAACCTCCGATGTAACCTAACCTTCTTATTTCTCAAAAGACTATTCTAAGTGGATTAAATTTTCATTTGAAGTTTTATCGAGCGTGACACTTTAATGTCCTATTTTTCTTGTTTTACATACTTAATTAAGAATTGGAGTACAATACTGATATAGTACTTATTTATTACAGGTTATGACTGCCAATGCCGCGCATAGTGTGTATGCCTACCTAAGTTGGATCAGTAGTAAGGTGTTTTGAAAGACCCCTTTACTCAGCAGTGTATGGGTATGAGTTCTAGAAGGTGATGTAGAAATAAAACTGTAGATCAATAACTTAATGTATAGCTAAAAAAGGAGGTAAACAGAGTTACGGGTGATCGAACGTGTGATCGTCATGGTCTTTGACCTCGTCTGAAATCTTTTAAAACTTTTTGGAAAATGAGGAAAGTTTACCCACTGATAACACTAGGATTTTTTATTGTGTAGAAATAAATTAAATTACAATTCATATTCAATAATTAACTCAAAATCTACTTCCATAAAATCCAACTGCCATTACATACACGTAGGTATATCAGTTATAAAAAGTTTTTATTCTGAAGGTACATTTCACTCGCGGTATAAGCAACGCCATCTATTGCTAAATATCAGTACTAGCTGACGCAACGTCTGGCTTGGAAACGTCACGAAACAAATGATCGCGAGAATATTTTCTTCCTAGTTACTATATTTAACTGCTGATGGCTCTTATAGTAATTTTGTTCAATCACTAGAAAACTGACTTCATGCTACATTAACACCATGTGATCAGCAAATAAATGGTGGGCAGTTGCTCAAACTTAAAGTCACTTATAGTAATGTATTACATATTTCATAGATTTTCATAACAACACGTTTATGACTTTGAAGAGGTGCCTATACCTGCCTACCGCTCTTCTAGTCAGTACTATAAAATACTTTATTATTATAATTCAGTTATTTCAATCACTTCACACACACATTCACTATGTCTATTTCATGTTTCAATTTTAATTTTAGGTGTGAGTGTAACGTTTGTTTGTTGTTTTTTTTTTATTAACGTTGACCCAAACTAGCATTTTCTCCTATGTCGTGGGTGCGTTTACAAACATACAAGTTCACATACACATGACCCCAGACCCGGAACAACAATCTGTGGATCACACAAAGAATTGTTCCGTGTGGGAATCGAACCCGCGAAACGTTGCGCGGCAGCCATAACTGTGTAAGTAGGTTGTTCGAACTTGTAAAAAATACAAAATTGACATTATTTCGAAAATGGAACAAAAATAAAATCATCTTTATGAAAATATTTAAAAATATTGATAACTACACGTGGGAACAAAGTAACGGAGCCACTAGCGTTTTTTATTTTTCATTGATAAATATTTTCTGATACTTTTGTTAAGTAGCTGGTAACGTAGGTCGTAGGAAAGGCAATTTACCTTTAAAATAAGAACATTTTGTTATAAAAGGAATAAAATATATTTTTTAAGTAATAGAGGGTTCAATAAAATGTAAAAGAGGCTCCATTCTTTATTCCCAAGTGTATGTACCGAGTAAATTATTAGGTAGGTATAATGGCTTATACTGCAACAAAAAGGACTTTATTGGCCGCAAATTCTTTGACACTCGTCAGTAAATTGTTAAAGGCAAATCAAGAAGAGCTGAAAAACAATGCGTAATATTAAAATATACAGTATATTTTTTATAATTTACAATGATTAATGTAAATTTTACATGAATATATGAGACGTTCATTACCATAGGCATCTCTAGTTAGGACCTTGATTGTCAACCAACCAAGTAAAGTAAAATAATGCATAGGTACAATAAATAATGCATAATGATACATTAAATGTATATTTTCTTTCGAGCTTCGTATAGATTGCAATATGCAATAACTTTTTAAGTTTATAATGAATAACAGTAATAGCCAGCCAGACATAGGCTATGCTGTAACTTTTTTTACAGCGACATTTTTAATGCACTTAAGTTTTATGTAAAACAGTTTTTTACGTCATTTAATAAATAACTAAAACATAACATAACATTGCGCATTTTATCCCTGAAGGGGTAAGCAGAGGTGCTCATTACGGCACTTAATACCACTGTACAATGTAACACCCACTTTTCAGTATTTTATTTTATGAGTCCCATGTAATAGGGGGTGAGCCTATTGCCACATACCGGGCACAATTCCAGACTCCGTGCTACTACTGAGATTTTTTTTAAAACCTAGTAATACTTTGCCTGACCCAGGAATCGAACCCAAAACCCCTTGCCCGGCAGTCGCACTTGCGACCACTTTGCCAACGAGGCAGTCTAACTAAATAATAATAATAACTAAAACTATAACTACAATAAATAAATGAAAATATAAAGAATAACTAAAAGTAACTACATATTATTTCATTCAACCAAATTACCATACAAAATAATAGTTTTAGCCACTTCTACTTGAACTAATACCATCACCAGTTTTCACCAACCTCATTTTACTTGTGACCTTAATTTAAGAAATAAATTAAACCAATTAAACTAATTGCTAATAATATCAAAACTTCATATAAGTCATTTTTACCGCCCAATCCATTTTCCTAGTGACTGCTGGCTAAAGGGCAGCTTTTACTCGACATCATAACCCAGAAACTAGACCGAATATACTACTTAATTGTTCCTCTAACTTCTGTTTCCCCTCACTATTATCTATCAAAAGATCCCAGTCAACAAAATCATCTAAATCACACTCGGAAGCTACATCATCAACTCCAGATTTGAAAATAAAACCTCTTTTCTTTCTCGTTTCTTCGTCAGCCATTATTCTTATGTTCCTTGTCTTATTGCCATAGTTTTCTTTAAACCATTTGATGTCTGTTTTTCGCCTGATGTCACTTACAATCCATATTGGCTTGTCTGTCGCTGAAATTGGTGAAATTATAGTTTAATTTTGGTAAACTTTTAGTAAATTTGTGTGAAACATAAAAGTTTATCTCTGGTGTAGAGTAATTACAAATTGTATTTAATGTAAGGATCTAACATCTGTGTTTCCGAATAACACAAAAAAAATTTTTGTTCTTAGAAGGAGTGTTTAGACAAATATCTGGCATTTAGATTCTCTATTACGTAACTGATATGATTTATCTATTTTGAATACTTAAATCTAATAAATTTTTCAACAACTTGGTGGTACTTGAATGCTTAACTTGAACACGAAAGCATACCAATTAAAATTATTATTTAACTTACCATCTTGACAAGCAATTCTACAGAAGTATCCATAATCTTGAGCTCTCATCTCTTCGCTCCAGTTGATCATATCAAGTCGGTATTGTTCTTTGTACTCACTGTCTCCCAACAATTCATTCAAATTCAAATTCTTCTCCTTGGCCCAATGACTCTTTATAGGATGAGATATTTTTAAAACTTCACATTTGTCTGCAAGCCTGAAGAATTTTTGAAGAACAGTTGAATGTTTTATTTTTAGATGACTTATTTGGTTAATAATCTTTCAAATGAAATGGGATTGTAGTTATCCACCTCTAACTGTAGATTATAAAGACACTATCTTCATTACTTCATTACAGAAAATACTGACTAAAAACTACACTTTTTTAAAGACAAAACTGCAATAAATTGGAAATGCTACTGTCTTATTTGCAATGCAAAATAAAATCATACTTTACGTACGTTTTGCATGTAATTGTAATTTCTAAGAAATATAAATAATGTTTACTTTTACTTACAAGTTCTGTAAATGTGTGGTAAGGAAGTCCTTTCCTGATTTTCTCTTCCCACTGAACAGTAATATTACTTGCGGCATTTCTTTATAACGTCTGAAACAGAATAAATTAAAATTACTCACGTATTTGTCATTCATAAATTCATATTAAGATAAATTATTTAATTTCTAAATTCATTAAGTTTATTAATGGTTACTTTTATAATAAAATACAATATAAATTTAGAAAAAAAGGAGCTCAAAGAAATATTTTGTAAATGGTTGAATAGTTGCAAAAGGTTCAGCCCCCCGACTTGTTTATTTTTTAAGTTTTAAAAACAGAACATATTATTAAACTTACGCACGACACCTCGACAAGTAAATAAAGCTAAACTGACAAGTTACTGTCAACTATCAACGTCAACTACAAAGCTGACTTTGACTTTAGCCATTCTCCAACACATGTGTCAACTGTCAGTAAAATTGAGCGTATAGGTACATGTTAATGTCAACTTTCTCAAATATCTTGTTTTTAGTTGTAGGTACAATAAATTAAACTTTCTTTATTTTTGATAAATGATTTCGTTAATTATCTACTTATTATAATGTAAAAATGTGTAAGTAGTCAAATTGAAAATTTTATTATGTATTTACCGGCTACAAGGTTCTCACATTTGTCAACAGAGAGCGCTACACTCCCTTTCTGTCCACAATGTTGGAGTAAGTATTTTGTAAATTATGAAGTGAGTGCGATTTGAATGCAATTTTAAGTCATACAATATTACCTTGCACAATAAGAACTACAAAATGAACTCAAAACATATACAAACATGTAAGATAGCTAGCAGAAAATATTAGCGGCATTTCGTAACAAGTTGTAAAATGCTACCACGAGATGGCAGCACACGACGACAACATAAAATTACTTTCCCAGTACAAGTTTAAGTTTTTATATTTTTACTTTCTGCTGGATATCTTTTTCAGAAAAAATATTGATCAGAATATTGTAATTAATACTAAACTGTAGACTGTAACTAATATTTGTATTGTACAATAACATCATTGGAATTGCTATGAACTTAATAATACGATTTTATAATAATAATTTACAATATTTTATGAGTAGGTATTATTAGCATTGACATTGATGATAAGGCTATAAGGAAGGAAATCTTTATTGTAGGGAGATTAATTAAATACGTTGCCAGTTAGTTTAATCATTACCAACTTGAAACAACAAGTTAGTGCTATGGTGATATTATAGGGAAGTACATAGTAACGGAGTTACCTACCTACTACATCTATACATATACATAGGTAGGTAATAAATAACTATAACACACAGGCATACAACTGCTAAAATAAATTCTTTTGAGAGGGTGTTTAAAAAAAATATAGGTGTCATTCTTAGAAAGATATCAAGGCCGGTACCTAGTTCATATGTGAATCTATGGGAGTTAAGCAGCCAAGTATTAATTAGGATGATTGTTCATTCACAACTAATTTTACGTGACTACCTACCTTATATAGATTACAATGTTCGCTCGTATCGTAAGCACCTAGTATTTACTTATATCTAGATACCTAAGTGCCGGTGTAATTTGTAGCTACTCAACATGAATCCATTAGGTTTTTTAGTTATTAAATAACAACGTAGGGGTACATTTATGTCCAACGCATCATCATACAAATGTCCGTATCTAGCAAATGAACGACGGTATTCAATAAAACTTATCAATATTGTTCATTATTAAATCGATACCCGTGACTAACTGAATGAATACCTCCGCTGGTATCTACTTCGACACGTAAAGTACCACGGCATCGCCCACGCTACGTTATTATACCCAACATAACATATATCTAACTATTAAATAAATTCGTGCCGACACGAAAAAAATGGCGTTATTTGAATGCCGGGCCGATAATTTAAATGTAGCAACAACCGCTTTTAGCTTACAACCTTAATTGACTTAAAAATGCTTATCAATATGACGTATCAACAAAAACTTTTGATCACCCCACACGCTCTGCTAAATTTAACTTTAACAGCGTGTCATACAAGTCAATATCAAAAGTCAATCGCGCGCACTTACTCTGTTTCAGAACAAGGGCAAAGTTGGAAGCACGATGCACGCTCACGACTTTCTGAACAACTCCGGACATGACATTCCACGTTTCGCTGTAGATTAGAACGGGACGGATAGCGACCTACCCGCTGAAAAAAACGAGACAAGCGACCACCGAGCAGTCCACGTGGACTGCTTAATATCAACACAGGAGCAACGACCAATAGAAAACGGTACCGCTAATGTATTTCTCACCTCCGCACTCACACCAAGGACAGCTGCCATTTTTACATTATTTATTCGATTCTGAACTTTGTGTCTGGCGGTTAGAGTTTTAAATCTGGTGTTGTGGTGAAGGTGTATTCCATGTTCGAAACGACTTATAAAAATGTGATGTTATGATTTTGGGTCTTATAGCGAGAGGTATAGGGTGCATTGTTGTGTTTGGAGTGTTCTGCGGTTCTTGAATTTAAAACGATTCCCAAGAACACGGGCGCAAGTTGGTGAAGGTTGGAGGAGGCCGCGGTGCAAACTGCATCGTCACAGCGCTCCCCCTCCCCCCCTTTGCATTGTAGTGCAGTGTGTGTGCTGTGTGTGTACGTCTGCTCCGAGTCAACTGTTGTGCTGAGCCACGACGTTTTCATAGCGCCCCGACTCAGCCCCGAGAGCACGCAGCCGCCAGCCGCCAGCCGCTGCACTCAACGCTCGCAATATTTTCCTCTTGTAATATGTTATGCTTTTATTTTTTACAGCGTTTGTTTGACCAGCTGAACAAAGGATTTTCGTATGAAGCAATTGTATGGAAAAAGTTTGTAGTAGGTACCTGCGTTCCTTGTACACATTAAACACAGAATGAATGTCCTAAATGGGTGAAATTGCTTTACGAGGTAAGTACAACTGCTGACATTACTATCATAAGTAGGTCGTAAGTATCTTCTTGCGGTGACCATTAGCAATTAAGTAAGTACTTATAAGTGAAATTCATATTATTATTCAAACTTACCTTCCTATCTATGTAAGTAGGTACCCTACATAGAGAACCTATCTGTGTACTACCTACTCTTAAAAGGTACAAGCAGGTACCTACATAGGTAGACAACATTCCTCAATCGCGAGATTAGAATATCTGAGTATTAGAATCCCTCGGCCGTCGCCTCCCGGCTCCCACCGCGTGAACCTGAACCACATTTATTTATGAAAAACAAAATAACGAGATTGAAATCAAAAGCCGTTCTTAGAAACAAATCGAGTCTTTAAAAGCTCTTTTACGATTACGTTTTTGATTCAATGGAAAGGGGATCCTTTGTCGACGGAACACCCGGAAATATTACGTTCGGAGTGGTTCAGATGTGCCCGGTCTCCCCTCGACCCCAATCATGTCCTCACTCATGCATTCTACACAATACACCAATATGAATGAACAAACATAACACCAGATCACTGCTCGCTTGCTTCGATTCTACGGCTATCGGCTACTGAGCTAGAGGTCCTGACTTCGAATCCCAGGTTAAAGTAAGGTAGGTATTACTAAATGATATTTAGGTAAGTAGGGTACCGGACGTTACAATTACAAATCCGATTTATACATAAATAGGTTGGTAAGTCATTCAGGTAGATACTACTGATATGTAAAAACATAGGTACACGTTTTATTTACTTATTCAGCTAGTCATAATGCAGTTGTTTCGATGTAGCGATTAGATTAAAAATTAATTACCTATCCGATGTTACATTACATTTGAATAAACAATTAATATTAATTACATGCGAGCGCACATCCTGTAGCAGTAAACGTTATATTTAGATAGATAACACATCTCATCACCGACACTAGGCATTACTTTTACTTTTTTTGTATTCGAAGTAGCAAAAGCAAATTACTGAACGCGTCAATTGGCTCATTCAATTGATTAAGGTAACCGCCCACCGCAGCGCTGCAGCTCCATCTTAATCACACAAACTCGCTCGGTCGCTCGCGCGTACTTTTTGTCAAGTGTGTTTCTTGAAAGTCTTGAAACACTTCAAACGCCGAGACTAATGGCTACCGACGCGCGACGCTGCGTTCAACATCGGAAGCTTTATACATATAAATTATGTACCTACGAAGGGAAACGATATCACTCTGTTGATAAAACGCTCTCTGCTTTATTTGAGCTAATATTTGATTTATAGACGAAGTTATTAGTCTGGCCCGACCCTCGGGGAAAAAAACTGCAGAAGAAGTCTTGTCTCAGTGTGAATGCTTTTAGTGTTTTTTTCTTATTTATGACTTGTGTGAGTCACAATGGGGACAAAAATAAGGCCATTGAGATTAAAGACGAGATTGAAGAATAGGCACATAAAAACAATCGTTTGTACTTAGAACTTGCTGGTAAGGCATGCCAGGCTAGTCTTTTGATAAGATAACAAAATACTTAATAACAATATCTAAAATCTAGTTCCATGAATAGCCACTGTACCTACCTAATACAAGGACCAAGCAATAATCTGTTATGAAAGGGATATCCCGTATTGACACGGATGGGATTATCGATATCGTCAATACCACGTCATCTGTCATTCATACATGTAGCGAGATTGCGCGGGCCCACTGCTCGCTACCCGCTGCCCTACAACCCGGTGCGATGCCCGACACACCGCACGACACACTCGCATTACTCAACACAAACAAAAAGGGAATAAATGCTGGAATAAAATACTTTTAATTTCCCCGGGCGCCGCTAATCGGGCCGCGTCGATGGAGGGCGCCAAATCGCCCTTTTTATTTTACTGTATGAACGCAAATCCGGCGGGAAAACGGCGTTAGGCGTCCGGGGGTGCGGGCGGGCGAGGGGGGAGGTGCGGTCACGCGCTCGGAATTAGCGGTCCCCCGGCCGCCGCGCGCCCCGCACTTGACCCGCGCGAGGTGTCACCGAGCACGTTACCTACCCGCAAAAAATAGGGGGTGAGCCGCGCGCGCACCGACCAGCGCTGGGAGGTACCGCACGGATTTTGTTTTTAATTTTTTATGATTTCGTTTCGATAGGACACCGATAGCTACCCTCCCACAAGAGTCGATTGAAAAATTAAAATTCTTATGCCATACCCATACCCGGCCAAAACGTAGAGATACCGTAACCGCGACCACCACGTATGCAACTACGCATATCTAAGTACGTATATACCTACAGCTAGAGCTCGCCATAAAACTTGGAAGCATGTATCCGGTGGGTACGAGGGCGGCGGCGGCGCAAGCCACTAATTGACTCACAAACAACCCATAGAGACCGCAAATACTGAGATATTACGGCTCTACTGCCAAACAATGAGTCACATTGTGTCATTTATCGAACTGTTTTGTAAATTATATTTTAAGATTTCCTTCCCTGTACCGATATAAAGTAACTAAAATAGGAAGCCAGACCAGAGTACCCATTAATTAGTGCAGTTACCTGTTTACAGTCTGCGCTCTGTAGTAAATAACCTACTTTAACTAACTACTAGCGTAATTAAGAAAAAAGGAAAATAACAAAGTAATTATTCATACCCAATACGGAGTACCCCGACACTTTTTGTCACAGCAAGCGGCGGGTTACGTACTTGACATTGCTAAAGCCAGAAACAATAAAGTCATTGTTTTAAAAAGTACTTAACTGTGGCTAAATAAGTTTCAAGTTAAGTTAGAGTTTAGTTGGCGCGGTATGTGGTTGTACTTGGGCAGTGCTCGAGTGAGTCAGTGTAACATGTCCAAAGTTGAGAGGCGTCAGCTTCAAGTATGATCGCCGCGACCCCACAAGAGATGTCGCTACTCGCTAGGGATCGTGCAGTCTTCAGCCGGCAGTAAAAATACGTGCGGGTATTTCCTGTGCCGCGACAGCCTCGGCTGGGGAGAGGCGGGGGCGATAAATAACTCAGTTTGCGGCCGGAGGGG